TAATAAAAATTGATGCTTTATTTTTTTTTATGGTAGTAATATTTATGTATTTATAAAAAAATTATTAAAATATTTAAATAATTTTATAAAAAAATTTTCTAGGAATCCTCATGGATGCCAAACTTGAGATTCTTTTCTTCCTCATCCTCGTCATCTGAGATCTCCTTCTTACTAGTAGGGATGTTCATATCCGATTCAACCCGATTGATCTAACCTAAACTAATCCAATCCAATCAAAAGTCGATCTAAACCGATATAAAATTAGATTGGTTTGAATTTTAAAATTATAAAACCGATACAATTGGTTTGATTCGTGATTTTACCTTCAAACCGCCTGAACTGCCCGATTACAAAATAAAATCCAATTAGAAGATAATTTAATTAAATAATATAACATATTTTTTGTAGTATTTTAATTTTTTTTTCTTATTTTACAAGATTATAACTCCATTAACTTAATTAAAAAAATAAAAATAGAACATTTTCATATTCCCTAAGTTATTTCTTCATTTTAATCATGCATTCTAACTTTAATTCTAAATTTCTAATTCACCAGCAACTCTATCATCTCAAAACTGGTTTGCGCCTTTACTCTTAAAATCCTAAATTTTTAATTTATTCTTAAAATAATCTTATGATTCTTCTAACTAAATTTTAACTAAGTATCATTCTAAAAGCCTTAAAACTATATAATGAAATTAGTCTTAATATTCTACTATTTTTGGATATTTGGTTTAGAAGTTTTAAATTTTTATTATGAATGCTTCTAATCAATTTTAGTAATATTCATGTTAAATTTTATTCACTTTTAATAGGATTTAGAAAATGAGATTAAATTATTAGTGCATTACGAAAAAAAACTAATTTTAATCTTCAAGAATTATTTACGTTGTGTTAAATATTTAAAGCTATTTTTTTATTGTTTTTAGTGCCTCTAGTGATATAATCGAGAAGAATTTTCAAAACTTTTCAATTTTTACAAATGTAAAGGAGTATAAGAATTTGTTTATAATTTTTATCTATTGTTATGTTTTTACTGATTTAGATGTTAATGTATTTTATAGTTATACTTTTTATTTGATATTAAAATATTTTGACATTATTTTATATATTTAATGATGTTAAAAACCGATCAATCTGACCGAACCACACCGATCTGATTTAAATTGGATTGGTTTGGTTATCACATAATAATGAATTGGATTGGTTTAAATGTTTTATTAACCAATTAAATTGGATTGGTTTAAAAAATCGTAAAATCTGAACCAAACCACACCGCAAACACCCCTACTTACTAGTATTCCCAACGCATAGAGAAATTCGGTAACTAATGAACTTAGGGTAATTATTGATCAGGTCCTTGAGACAGTGCTCCTCAAGGTACTCATGCTGGTCCTCCTTGAGGAAAAGTGTGATCTTGGTACCCCTGCCCAAGTTTTCACCAAAGGTGTCCCTAGTGACAGTGAATGACCCATCAACTTGAGATTCCCATACATACTGCTCATCATCATTGTGCTTTGTGGTAACAATAACCTTTTTAGCAACCAAATAAGCAGAGTAGAAACCAACACCGAATTGTCCAATCCTGCTGATATCAACCCCAGCAACCATTGCCTTCACAAATTCCTTGGTTTCGAACCTTGAATGGATACCAAGATTGTTCACCAAATCTAAGCAAAAAAAATAGCACTTATCATCAATGGAAAACATCATAATACTGGCACAAACATTGGACTGAAAAAATTGTAAAAATGAACTTACCAGCCTTGGTCATGGCAATACCACTATCAATAATAAACAAGGTGTTATTGGTCTTGTCAGGTACAACACAGATAAAGAACCGTGGCTGGGCATGGAGCTTGCTCTTGTCTGTCATGCTCTCAAATACAATTTTGTCCAAAGCTTGACAAGTATAATGAAAACAACATATCAACAATTAATTATAAGAGTACAAGAAGTGTTGTCAAAATCTAGATTTAAATCATAAAATCTTATGATTTTAAGATTCTAGCATGGTATTTCGTGTAAAATTTATACAAAAATCGGAAATGCATGAAATCAGGGGTCAAAAACATAAAATCGCGATTTTACTGTGAAATCAGTTAAAATCTCGATTTTACCTCCTATTTGGCAACTGGGCTATTTGCCTATTTCCTTTTGGGCTTCCCATCTTGGGTTAATGGGCTTTGACCAGACAACCCTTAAATTAAACCCATTTTTCATTTTAAAATCCCACAACCCACAACCCACAACCCAACCACAAATCAAGATTTTAATTGGGACAAATTTGATCTAACCATCTAAAATTCTAAATCTAAGTCATCTTCTTTAGTCTTCACTTAGGGTTCGCCGCAAGGAAGGGAAAGATTGGATTGGACTGCCACTGCTCATCACTGCCACTACCGTTGCTCACTGCCACTACCACTGCCGCTGCTCACCGCTCAATCATTTGCTGTTGCTCACTACTCAGGGGCTTACTGGAGTTGCTGCTATGCAGCTCACTGCTCAAAAGCTTCCCGGAGTTGCTTATTGTCTATCACTGCCCATTGCCTACCGTTGCTCACTGCCTGCCACTGCTCACTACTCAGTCATTTGCTGTTGCTCACTACTCAGGGGCTTGCTAGAGTTGCTGCTGCTCATTGCTCAGGGGGCTTGCTGGAGTCGCTGTTGTGTTGCTCACTACTCAACAGCTTCTCGGAGTTGCTTGTTGCCGCTTACTGCTTTACCTTGTTGGAGTTCCTACTGGCGCTTACTGACTCTTTTTCTCCTTCTCCTCAACTGAGGTATGCTTTCTCGCTTGATCTTGAATCTTGAATCTTTTGCTTTACTCTCTAGACTTTAATCTTTCTCTCTACTTTTTGATTTCATGTATGTTTGCTTTTTTTTGTAATTTCTTTGTGTGGCATTATTTTGTTAGTTAGGACTTAGGACTTAGGAACTTAGGATTTATTGATTTAGTACTGAGATTTGGCTTCTTCTTTTTTTTTTTTCAATGGCTTATTGAAATTTTAGAAATGTCTACTTCTAGAAAAAAAGATTCATAGGAAGAATGCTCCTGGAAATATATAAGATATTGGGTGAGAGCATGGGATTGATGTTGAAAAAAATTCTAAAAGTCAAGTGCAACTATTGTGGTAAGACTTTTACTGGAGGAATTTATAGATTCAAAAATCACTTGATTCAAAAATCACTTGACTGGCACTAAACAAGATTGTAAAGCATGTGTTAGTGTCCCTGAAGATGTTAGGAATCTTATGTTAAGTATCTTGATTGAGATGGACAATTCAAAGAAAAGAAAAAGAAATTTAATTGATGTTGGGGATGATGGTGATTGTGGTCGTGACACTGAGCTTGATGAATATAGCATTCGTGATTTATTTTAGTTTGTCTTGATGAATGATGAGTGAAGTGGGATATTTGACACTGTTTGCCCATTAAGTTTAAATGTTCAGCACCTTATTTTAGTTTGTCTTGATGAGTGAAGTGGGATATTTGCCACTGTTTGCCTATTAAATTTAAATGTTTAGCACTTTATTTTAGTTTGTCTTAATGAGTGACATGGGATATTGACATTGTTTGCCCATTAAGTTTAAATGTTCAGCATCTTGATTATAGCATCTTGATTATTTGGATCATATCTGCTTAAAATCTCCACCAATTTCTTTTTATCTCTTTTGGTAGGAGAGTTAGTGCTTAACATTTTTAATTTTATTTGTAGTTACTAGTTAGTTTAAATGTTTAACTAATGACTTATATTAAATTAATTTATTTATTTGTGTTATTGGATATTTAGATTTTAATTAGCTAATTTCAAGTTTTGAACTCTAAATTTGATTTATTATTGTTTAATTTTGATTTTATTTAATTTATTATATATTATATATTAAATTTTGTAAACTCTCGATTTTATCGATTCAATTTTACCAAAACGATTTTAAATAAAATCTGATTTTGACAATCTTAAGTACAAGTAAATCCTTACAAATTTATTTGGAATATCATTGGTTTAATCATTAATGTCCAACCAAAAGAAGAGAAACAACACATCAGGATGAGATTAATCAGTACAGAAACGGATACCCTTTAAGGGATCAACCCTACCAAAGTA